ACGTTAACAGGTGGTACAGTTGGTACAGGTGGTGGCGGATCACCGCCTACGTCGGATGGTATAAAAGAGTGGATAAAAAAGCATTTAAAAGCATTAGGTTCAGCACTGGGAAAGCTCGCTGAGAAAGCCGCGGCTGCACTTTCCGGTATCATAGGGAGTGTTGTTTCCTGGCTATTGAATTTATTAGCTAAGACCACCACTTGGCTTAGTCAAAACTTGTGGGGGTTGATCGTAGCAATTGCAGGGCTGTTGTACGTATCCGCTAAGAACTATTTATCCAAATCAGGTCGCTAAGAACTATTTATCCAAATCAGTTCGCTAACCAAATCATGAGGAAACCAACCGCGACTCCACCTAATACAAGCGTTGTTTTTTCATCAATATGTTGTTGATTTTTAGCCTCAATATGTGGTGGCACTTGTGCGTCAGTAGATGGTTGTGCGATAGTTGGTGTTTGTGGCTTGACTATTCCCTTTTCGCCCGTGATTGTTTGCGTTATTAATTCGACGTTAATATCTAAATTTATACCTGGTTTTTGTTGATCGGTAGCGATAACAATTTTATTATTATAACCTATCACTTGACCGATCTTAAGTTCCATATTACTCGGAGACATGTATAGTCCCGGCGCATAAACGTAGTCCACTTTGGATTGAGCGTACTGTAATGCATCTTGAAAACGCTTTATAGACGATGGTATGTCAACTGGCGAATTAATGGCGTCCTCCACGTTTGCGACAAACTGTTTTTGCGCATCGAAACGCCGTCCCTGTACCGATAATGGACGTTCGTGTTTGCGATTGTGCACCGAGAATTGCCCATACATAAGTTCTTATCGATTCATTAAATCTTACAAATCCTGGGTTAGTAAAATTATTTTCCGTTTTATCATTAAGAAATTCATTCCAAGCGTCATCGTTCAGTTGTACAAATTTTTTAACAATATAAATTAACCCACTCTTAAAACTCATAATATCCCCTCTCCAATCGTTACTCGAAAGTCCCCAGCCTTTATACCAATGACTGGTTTTATACCAATGATCAAATATTCTTGAGTAAAGTTTGCTGTCACTCCTCAACTTAGTAAAATTAACTGGAAGTTTATTAAGTGTTTTATATACATAATCGCTTTCTTCTTTGACGGATATATTTTCCTCTGTGTAAGGAACTCCTAGACCATGGTTTGCTCCTTTAATGCGCCAATCTTTACTCGTAGAAACATTAAATTCCTGACAAATACGCTCATACGCAGACCTATCATAATTATTATTTGTGGAATTCCACGCTCGATCCTGCGGTAATGGAGCACTAATTTCTTTAAGTATACGTCTAATCTGATAGTACACGTGAAATAATAAAACAGACTTATATAGTTTAAATCCTGGGGCATTAACAGATACACCACACCCCGTTGTGGCACACCATATGGCAAAGTTTAACTGATTCTGCCAAAATTGCATCGGATTGTGAAACCAATCGTGCACCATTTTATCGCTAGTTGCCGTGACCCTGTACTTTTCAAAGATATTGGGTAATTTAACGAAAAAATCATCACCATAGGAATTTACCATAATCGATAGATTAGTAATGTGTCTCGATATAGTTATGATATAGTCTCATTGTATATTTAATATGTATGTTACACTCGCGGGAATAACAAATGGTCAGTCACAGTATCACACAAAATGAGGCGACTGGGACAGTGAAAATATACACTGGAGAAACAAGTATACTTATTGACGAGAACTTAGCAATTACACTTGGATTTGGACAGCCAGTATTATTACCACCCAACAAACCAGTGACTGTATATGCATTACCCGATTTAGTTCCCTATAAAGAGTTGTGTATCCATCTTGATCAAATAATCATGACAAATAATATTCAACAAGAAAGTCCTTCAACTCTACTCAGATGTGTTCCAGTTAAAGATGAAAAATACAATAGTGGTAGAACGGAATCTTTCTCAACATTACAATATAAAAAATTAAAGCGGGGTATTATTTCAGACCTCAAAATTTCTATATTAGATGTAAAACACCAACCTGTACATATAGGATACTTAAGTGTAACACTCCATATTATAAATAATGGTTGATTCCATATTTAAGTTATGATATAGTATCATTGTATATTTAATATGTATATTACACTCCTGGGAATAACAAATGGTCAGTCTATTCAACCGCTTCGTACTATCGATAACTCGGATGGTCAGCTCGAAGTCGCTCTATGCGATGTAACGTATTACCCACGGTGGACCAATATAAATGCTGCAAAAGATAATAATAGGATAAAACTATTTACTGCATTGGGTACTATTATCAAATCCATAACTATACCTGATGGGTATTATAGCGTAAGCTCACTCAATGATGAAATTTTTAAGCCTAATAGAGTTAGTCTATCACAAAATGAGGCGACTTGGACAGTGAAATTCGACCAAGAAGAAACTATACTTTTATGGGACCAATCAGATACACATGAATTTTATCGCTTAATTGGCATACATCCTGATGTTAAATTACCCGATTTAGTTCCCTATAAAGAGTTGTGCATCCATCTTGATCAAATAAGCACGACAAATAATATTCAACTAGGAAGTCCTTCAACTCTGCTCAGATGTGTTCCAGTGAAAAATGAAAAATATAATAGCGGTAGAACGGAATCTTTCTCGTCATTACAATATAAAAAATTGAAGCGTGGTATTATTTCAGACCTTAAAATTTCTGTATTAGATGTAAAACACCAACCAGTACATATAGGATACTTAAGTGTAACACTCCATATTTAAAATAATGGTTGATGCATCAGGCCCAGGAACGCTCAGACAATGTAATACAATTGCGCTTTCCGATCTCGGAGACACGGAAGGATTCGATAAACCCGGTAGCAATGGTAAGTTATATGCTTTACACTTACACGATAATGTATACAAGCGGAAAGAAGTTACATTCACGGGTAATCTAGAAGATTTAAGCGATGTCGACGTTAGTAGACTCATTAAAAACACTTCGTACAATATTATTCGCAACAGTGAGAATAAATGGACTATGGTCGAAGCAAACATCGAGTGGCTATTGAATATCGTCATTACCCCACCGTATGCGATGATGGGTAAGGGACATAATTTAACTAAGATAATAAATAGTGGCATCGTACTCGCGGCTTATATCCCATCAAAACGAAAAAGTGCGTTAGTCACCCCCCTGCCAGAAAACCCAGGTCATATGTTATATAGTCGTCCGGCAATCCAAATTGTTAGTTTAAATTTGGTTACAGAATTTGATGATATTAAACAGAACTTGAGTGCAATACCTAATATTTCCACGCTTATTATTGAAGTCTTGTTTGGAGATGTACCGGTAGATGCCTTCGAAATATTACCAGGTCTATCGATTATATGGCTCAAGAAACACGATCGTCAACGTTGCAGTATTATTCATATCGGAGCATCGCCCGTTGCAACCCTCGAGGGGGTCCAAATTATTAAAAGTGGTAGTATTTCTCTTACTAAGATATTATTGCCGTATAATATACATTTGATAAGGTTGATGTATAGTCTCAAAACATTTAAGCAAGACCAATTAAAGACTATTATATGATCGTAATATACACTATGAGTTTATATCCAGCGCTCGATGAAGCAATTGAAAAGATGGAAACTGTTGATGGATTTCGATTACATCAAATAAGCGACATAAAACATCGAATAGAGAAGGATAGGGAGTTGAGACTTTGATTGTATAAAAAGTATCGCAGAGCCGTGAATGCTCTGGACGGAGTTGACACCTCGCTTGTAGCAGCTGGCATGGGACTCGGTGTAGCGGGTGTTGGTTTACTATCAACTATAATGGAAGTAGCCGCCGGAGTCTCGGGACTGGCAAGAATAGCGATAAAATTCATTTCTCGTAGGTTACAAAAGAAAGCATTAAAACACGATAGTATTCGGATACTAGCCGAAGCAAAGTTGAACAGCATTGAGGATCATATTTCGACAGCAATGGTTGATTGTAAGATATCCGAGGATGAGTTTCGTTTAGTGTTGTCAGAACTCACCAAATACAACGAAATGAAGCAGGAGATTCGATCAAAATCTCGTAAGACCAGTGGTATTAGTGAGGATGAGAAAAAAAAGTTCATAGAACAGGGGAGGCAACAAGCGCGTCAATTATTCCGTGCCAAAACCAAAGAACTGGTTGGAGATTAAAAATAGATTGCTTACTATCGTTTGATCACATTTAGACAAATGCTTACATACATATATATAATAATGGAGATCGAAAAAGCTATTAAATGGAGAGAATTACCACAAGGTTTTTATTATATCAGTGATGTCAAAACAACCAAATACGGTTATCAATTGTTTCTTATCAATTTACAAGAAGAGTGTAATTATATAGTCTGGTCTCCTAGTAAAATGAACGAAGAACTTAATAAAAATGTTGAATATCGCTTTATTGATAAAAATAATAAAGAATATTTTTATTACCATTTAGGCTCATCTAAAGCAATGACTGGCCCCAGGTATTGGTGAGCTAGACCCACTTTAACTTAATCTCATGACTATCGTTGAATCGCATAATCATTTTGGCATAAAAAAAGCCACCTGTAGTAGCAGTATAGGTATATGAATCCGGCTCCAGTGGAAGTGGTCCAGAACCCCCATTACCTATACTACTCCATGTATTCTCTTAACACCATCGGATTTAGAAGCAATGGTCGTATAAAACAAGACAGATCTATTTAAACACAACAGTATTCATGTTATTCCCACAAAATCACATAAAGAAAGGAGACATTAGCAAATACATGTGTATTATCATTTTTCGCCAGGATAACAAAATTTTCTCTCCTTGTTACCACCTCCAGGTTCAGCTTAAGATGGGTCCTCCTTTGGTCAAAAGTTTGTTCCCCCTCTAATGAGTGTGTCACGCGTTGCACACGAGTGGCGGACAGGGTGCACACCCGTGTGCAACGCGTTGCACACGGGTATCACACGCGTGACCAACCCGATGCACACTGGTTGCGTAACGCGTTGCCCATGCCTGTAAGGGGAATGAACTTCTAGGCAGTAGTGTAACTAGAGTCCTCATCAAGTACGATATGCCAGAAACCATCTTTCAAGTCACATTTAGAGAACAACTTGGCTTCTGCAATATCTGGCAGTATATCTTCCATAACAGGCAATGGATAGTGACATCTTTTGAGAGCTTTATTGAGAGGTTTAGGATCTATGCATAGGCGTAGACGTCCTGAGGGCTTCTTAACGATCAAGAGACTAGAGACCCAGTCGTTAGGTGTATCAACTGGAGTAATTACACCACGTTTTTCTAGACGTTCGAGTTCTGTCTTGAGGTCTTGCTTGAGAGCATGTGGAATTCTCCTGAGTGGCTGTTTGACAGGCGTTATACTTGGATCAATTTCTAGCTTCATCGCTAAAGATGTCTTGGTAAGTCTTCAGTATGTCCTCTTTTGTAAGACCAGTTGAGGATGTGACTTTCTCAGACGGAGGTTTCTCTTCAGAAACTTCAAGAATATTTTCATGGAGCACTTGGTTAAAGTTCATTTGTTGAGCAGAACAGGATCCAATCAGTGGTGTTCTGTCCTCAGCAATCACAACAAATTTGCCATGATACTTTTTAGAGTTCTTGGGATTGCGTAAATGGAGATTAGCAGTTCCCATTGTAGTAAGCTTGGACCCATTGTACATCTTCAGGTTAACGGACGTATCCTGCATGTCAGTATCCTCTGGGAGATACTTTTTAGAGATAACATTACAAGTAGCCCCGCAATCTACCTGAAATCGTACTGGTTGAGAGTTCACTTCAAGTGTTGTGAAGATTTTAGTAGGGTATTGTCCTACAATACAATTGACAGATTCTTCACAGGTATCTATAGTCATCAGTTCCTCTGTAGGATCAATATCAGATTCATCACAATCATCATCGACTCTGTGTACTCGGGAAGAATGTTTCTTCTTACTCTTGCACACGGAGGCATAGTGTGAAAATCGACCACAGTTACTGCATTTGACACCATATGCTGGGCATTGCTCTCGTTGAGGTGGGTGACGTTTACCACAATACTTACAGTTCCACATGAGAGTTTTCTGTTGTGAGTCATTTACAGGCTTACTATGTTTACTTTTGTCTGGGGGTTGACGTCTGGATGGAGTTTTAGATTTCTTGCGAACAGCATGGATATCCTCTTGGGCACTTGACATTGCTTTTACTTGAGCCATGGTTGATTCAGTTGCTCTGCATATATCTATACATCTCTTCAAAGTCAGCTTAGGTTCTTGCAATAGTTTTCTACGTGTTGCATTATCTCTCAGACCACACACAATTCGGTCTCTGATGAGTTCATCATGTAACGTTTTGAAATCACAAGATGCAGCCAATGTTCTGAGAGTGTTTGTGTAGGTATCTACAGATTCACCTTCCATTTGTGATCTTTGGTTGAAAATGTATCTTTCATATATGACGTTAGTTTCACCTAGACAGTGCCTTTCCATGAGAGTTAACACTGTATCCATGTTCTCTTTGTCCTCCTCAGACTCATAAGGTAAGCCATTATAGATATCAAGAGCTTCTGGACCTATGTATTTTTTTATTTTTTTTATTTTATTTTTTTATTGTTCCTGGTAAAAGTACATCATGTTTGGATAAGAGTCAAAATACATGACCAGGTTTTTTTAAGAAAGTACATATCATTCGCACACATCCATACACACATTCACACTCACTAGAAGCTTTAGTACTTATGAAGACAGAATGCAGGATATATATTTAGTAAAGTTTTGGAATAGCAAATGTTTATATTTTCAAAAGGTTTTCATAAGGAGCCCATTTCGTATAGAATTCAGTCTGTTTGGCTTTATTAAAGTGTCTATATTTTTCTAGTTGGTAATAATATTTAACCTCATTTTGGAAATGTGTAATGGTTGGTTGGTTATTTTTCATTTTGCATCTATAAATGTGAAATTTGGCCAATAAGAGTATCAGATCAAAAATATCATCAGTGTGGAAATGTTTTGAAAAGCCAAAAAGAATTAGGTCTGAAGTAAGATTTATCTTGCCAGTATGTGGACACTTGGATTCAATCCATTGTGAAAATCTTTTCCAGAAATTTTTGCTTACCCTACAGTCCCAAAACAGATGTTGGATAGATTCTGGCTTGGCATTACAGAAAGTACATAGACAGTTGTCAACAATATGCATCTTGAGTAGATAAGTATTAACAGGTAGAATTCTATGAAGCAATCTAAGCTAAAACCATCTAAGTTTAGGGTCTGGAGTAGTTTTGTGTGCTCTGATAAATAAGCTAGGCCAGTTCATATCCATTAAAAGTTCCTCTTCCCACTTGTCAATAACTTTTAAGCTTTCATGGGTTTGACTTATTACATAGTAATATTTCTTTGAGCCTTTTTTACATGAAAAGAGATTGGCAATAGATATATTTGTATTGTTTGTTGTTTCCAGATGCAGGTCTTTATTAATGCCTAATTGTATCATGTATGTATTTACTGATCTTGTAATACCATAAAATTCAAGAAAATTTATATTGAAGTATTTATTACAGAATTGTTGCAATGTCATAAAATTTCCATCATTGTTTAGCAAGCAATGTATGCTGTGTATATTATTGAGATGAAAGGTTTTGTTATCTAATGAATTCCCATTTATAATAATATTTTTATTGTATAGCAGAGGTTCCCTTAGGAACTCTTCATAATTATTGGGTTTTATTTTATTGCTATATTTAGAAAAGGCAGTAAAACAATCTTCCAAAATTGGTTTTTAGTTTTTTTAGCAAGCTTAAGTGGAAAATCACTTCCCATAAATAGTAGATCAGGAAATTCAGGAGTAGTATCAGTCATTAAAATTTTCCATTTCTTTTCCAAATCAACATTTAGTAACTTTTTTATCCAGATTATTTTCAAAGCGTTAACATATGCAAAAATATCTATCATACCAAGTCCTCCAAGGGAAATAGGTTTACAAGCAACTGTTCTCTTTATTTTGTCTGGTTTATTATCCCATAAAAACTTGAAAAGAATAGTATTTATCTTTCTAAGGAATTCATCTGGGGGACTAGGAAGGGTAAGGAAAAGGAAATTAAGTTTTGAAATGAGCATTTATTTGATAATTGCAATTTTGCCTAATGGGGTTATAATTCTTTTCATCCATCTCTTTGTTCAATTTCAAAGATTTTGCTTTCAAAGTTAAGTTTAATCATTTTATCTCGATTAGTAGAACTGCACAAAGCAGAAAAATATAAGGAGATAATGGATCCCCCTGCCTACAGCCACGGCAGACTGGTATCCAAGGTGACATATTTCCATTTATAATTAGGCTAGACCTGATATCTTTATAGAGTATAGATATCCATTTAGAAATACTTTCGCCAAATCCAAAATTTCAGGGTTTTAAAGATGAAAGACCAGGAGACAGAGTCAAATGCTTTCTCAAAATCAACTAGAAGTAGCATACCTGGCATTTGTTTAGATTCTGTGTATAAGAGTAGATCATATATCAGGCGGATGTTGTCTCCGATATATCTTCCAGACATGAAGCCAGTTTGGTCTTCACTGATTATCTGAGGCAATACTTTTTTAAATCTATCTGCAATCACAGAAGATAAAAGTTTATATATGGAGTTTAACAGGTTAATCGGGGGCCAATTTTTTATGAGTTGTCTCGGTTTATCTTTTTGGGGGATAAAGGTGATGATGCCTTGCTTCTGGGTGATTGACAAGTTTCCAGTTTCATAGCTATAATTAATTGTTCTAAGTATAAAGTCGCCCAGATCAAGCCAAAACATTTTGAAAAATTCATATGAAAAACCATCTGACCCTGGCTTTTTGTTATTCTTGGATCTTTTAAGAGCTGCTAGCAACTCATTCTTAGTAATACATCCTTCGATAAGATCAGATTCAGATGTTTTAAGTTTAGGAACATCATATTCTAGAAGTAAATCATCAAGGTCTATATCATTAATCGTGTGATCTCTAGAAGTATACAGGTTTTGATAGAAATTGGTTGCTTCATGTATAATATCCTTGGTGTCATTTAGTACAGTTCCATCTTTTGTTTCTATTTCCTTCATATTTTTGCTGATATAGTTTCTACTTTCCAGATTACAGAAATATTTACTTAAAGTTTCACCTTCATCTATCCAACTTGCCTTTGATCTCACTAATATACCATCTAATCTTTTTTTTCGCAATTGTTGCAATTCAATCTTTTTAGTTTCTAGATCATCAGCAGTATTTTCATCATAATTGTTTTCTAGTACATCAATTTCTGCTGTTCAGTCATTTTCTTTTTTGGTCATTTGTTTTTTTATAAATGAAGAATAGGCTATTGATTTGCCCCTAATTTTCATGAGAGTTTCCATAAAAAGGTGATTATCAATCCGGAATTGCAGGTTATCATTAGGGACTTGGTCAATGGCATCCTGATTATAGACTGGTATAGCATATTCTTTCTTTACATCAGATATTACCTGTTTTATTTGTTCAACATACTTGTGATCTTGTAGCAAGGAGTTGTTAAATTTCCAATAGGTTTTCCGTTTGGTGTTTCTTTCAATATTCATGGTAAAATTTATAAATGAATGGTCTGTTCTGTACCCTGGATTTATCTTGACATTGGTAACATTACTACACAGATTTTCAGAAACAAGGAAAAAAATCTAACCTGGCCTGTTTTATAGGATTTGAACGTCTCCATGTATATTGCCTTGAGTCTTGGTTATTATCTCGCCAGATGTCAATTAGGTTAAGTTCTCCTATCAGTTCTAAAAGCTGTTCTCTGGCCTTAGGGTTGTTAATATTTTTGTAATTGTTTGTATCTTTATCAGGGTCAAGCACCAGATTAAAGTCTCCACCTAATATGTAACTGCTATTTCCATATTCCTTAAATTTTGTCAATATCATCTTATAGAAATCAGGTGTGTCGGTGTTTGGGCCATAAATAGTTCCAACCGACTTTCGATTACCATTCAAAGTTATGTCAATCAATATAAAGTTGCCGGAGCCATCTTTAAATACATGGTGAATCTTATACACTACATTACAGTCTAATAACAGAGCTACACCTCTAGCTTGGCTAGAATGACAGTTAAGAATCACATCATAGCCCCACATGGATCTTACATATTTTTCTTCCCCAAATGTGAAATGTGTATCTTGCAAAAAATATAACGTACATTTTTTGGAATGCAGAAAGTTGAATATGTCTCTTCTCTTATTTATATCCCCAAGCCCTCTACAGTTTAAAGATCCAAAACATAAATTATTAGCCATTTTCTAAAATTGAGTGAAAAAAATCTAAAGCTTCTAGCAGCATACATTCATACCTTTCGTACATCAAGCACACCTGGAAAATAAAATGAGACAAATTACACACAACCAGTAGGCGATGTTGTCCCTGCAAAACTGCCTTCGTTTTTTTAAACACTAGATGGATACAAGCCAAGTCCAAGGCAAAAAGAAAAAAAAGAAAAAGAAATAAAGAGTCACTGTGAGGACACCGGAAGTAAACAAATCCGAGGGTTAGCTCCTTACAACGCCGAACACTCTGAACATCGTGTGTATAAACACTAGGAGCGAATCCTTCCAGTCAGCTGTTAGCAAGAAAAAACAAAGCATAATTCACATTCACAATTTTTCCCACTGTCATTTAACAAAAATAAAGATGCATTTTGATGATATAAGGTATTTATACCCCCATAGAGTCAGATCTTGACTTAAGTTTCCAGCATCCCTGCACTGGGCGACTGTAGCCACCGAAAAGCTAGCACGGTTTCAGAGTCTGACAATAGATTAAAGGGGAAAGCTTTCTTCTAGCTCGATATTATGCCACCGAGAGTCCTTGTCATATCAATACTGTAGCATCACATCACCGCCTTTCTCGAATATCCGGGTTTGGACTTTGTGAGTTTCTCGTAGATTTTTTCCTTTTGCGACAAGTTTGCTCCTCAGTTTTTTCAGTTTTACGGGTAGATCCGATCTAATTGATTTCTTCTGATCTCTGAGCACAATGGAGTGTTTAAAGCTTGCGTAGAATACATTCTGCCTATCTGTCATTCTGACAAACTTAACAATCACGGGTCCCGGCCCGGAGGACGGCCATGTTGGGTCTGTACCATGTCTAGGCAGTCTATGCACGTTCACTAACAGCATCTCGCGTGCGTTGTCAATTCCAATGTCTTCAAACAATTTTCTGGTAGATATCTCCGGGTCCTCTGTAGTTGGGGTACCATAGATGAGAAGATTGAGCTTCCTGCTGTATAGTTCCTGTGTAAGCAGTCGTTTCTCGAATTCCTCACGAAGACTTGCTACATCGTCGGCAGTTGTTTTAATGGCCTTTTTATTGGTCTCAATTTGTGCCGCGTTAAATTCCACAGTCTTTAGTATATCAGCTGTTGTGGTTCGAAGTTGCGTGAACTCCGTTTTCAGCGAGTCAATTTGGCTACCAATTTCATCCGTTTGCCTGTGAAGTGTATCACTTATAAACTGCTTCAACTCGACCGCCATGTTGTTGGGTGGACTCGGGTCGACTGTATCATCACGACTGTGACATTGTCGGCTGTTTGCCTCGCCTTACTGAGATACCCGTCGACTTTAGGCTGATTATCAACAGTAGCTTCGTCTTGCTGTTTGTTTCGAGTACCCCCTCGCCTAGTACTTGACATGTTTTAGGTGGTTAGGCAGTTTGCCGTGAGCGAGACGAAATTAGCGGCCCCTCGCCATGGACACCTTACCGGAAGTGAATGGACCTATGTAGGTTATGAATGAAGCAAGTCTGTATTTATGGTCATTTGCATCAATTCTGGCCATAACTTCAAAAGAGTCCCAGATTTGTCTCCATCTTTTCCAGTTCTGTGCAAGATTTCCCTTTAATTCAAGTCTTGGAGGTGGGGGAATATTGCCTTGAAATGTAGCTTGAGTAACATGTTGTGCTTGCTCTTCAGCCATAGTGATGATAAAAGTTGTCAGAAAGAAATTATTTTCTTCCTAAAAGTTCATAAAACTGCTTCAAAATTACTTGTTTGCTGTTTAAAAGTTCAAATTGCCATAAACAATGAAAATTCAAATAAAGACCCTTTTAGGCTTCCATAGCACTTCAGTAGATTTCTTGCGAAATTGAATTATGGCACCACATAGACTTCCATACTTTTTTAATTTTGTCATATGGAGTTCATAGAGAGAGTATTTCAAGTGCAAATTATATCACAATCAAGTTGTTGCGTATAATAAACATCAATCTTCAGAATGAAAATTAGTTTCAGCTTCAGTTCACTTTGTAGAAAGTTATTTTAGAGTTGTGCAATGCAGCGAGTCGAACAACGCACGTGGGTTTGACACGATTGAGTTTGCCGGTCAAATACAGTTAGTTCACTGAAACTCACTTGAGTTGGGAGTAATAAAGTTCATTTAGTGATGAGAGTGAGTTGTCACGACTTCTGACACCATGTTTCGTTATGCGTTTTGTTGTATTCGAGAATGATGCATAACTTAAGGATCACAGGAGGAGTCTGCTTGAAGTTTGTTTTACTCCGGAAGTCCGTACATGAAGTCACGTGATGTCCCATTGACATATTCGGGGACGTGATGCACACGATGAATATTACATATCGTAACAACGTGCAAGCCAAGCATGGTAATTTGTCAAAACTGGGTCATAGTCCATCGCAGTGACGTCACAGGATACACAGAAAGAGCTTTTCCCTTTTGGCAAAAACTGATCAAAGTTCAATGATTGAGTTAGGCGAAGGATGCAGAGAGGTGTACAGCAAGTACAATAGTGCAAATGAGCAGTCTGAAATGGACATCAGCCCCAGACACGAATGGCGAGTACTCACTGTCTGTGCAGCGTCATTTGTCGAATTCCCCTTGGGTGAATAAACGTGCCGATTCAGGCTCTAAACACATCAATCGATACCATGTTGATGTTGGGAGTGTTGAATATATACCAAGTTAACTCCTAGCGTTGGAAGTGTAGTATTTGTGTCTTACCTTGGCATATATTATGAAAATAGTTCAGCTCGACATTACATGGTGTTGACACATCAAAGGACGTAACTCATCAAATCTATGCAGGTTATTCGCCTGGGCAATTTCTTCATGAGTTACCTGTTGCAAAAGGCACATTCAGTCAAAGAACTGCACCATCTGGTCTATCTTAACAATACAGTGTTCACAGGATTTTAACATGTGGAGATTCTTTCTGCAAAATTGGAATGGAGTCACAATGTTTATGGACAATCTTATCAGTGCCCATGATTTTAAATCTATCAGATGTTATTGTGACAATACTGCAACTGTTGAAATTATTAATAGGGGAACATCCAAATGTGCCACTATTATGCAATTTTTGCGTAGACTCACCTTCATAGATATCAATTGTAACTTTGTACCTGGTGTAGATAACACAATAGCTGACGCCTTGTCTCGGTTGCAGATGGAGAGCATCAGGGATCTGGCCCCTTTCGCCGACAAGACCCCTATGCAATGCCCCCCCTTTGTTGTAGCTGCTGTACCCCTAAAAGGTCATCTGGACGAACTCTGGAACAGTGCTTTAGCTTCAACGACCTACAATGTCTACTGGGCTGGATTCAATGCATTCCTGGTGTTCGTTGACTAATCTACACAATCTCACAGAAGATGTGATTTTGTGACTTACTGCCATTGCACCCTGAAGCTGTGTTATGTCACCATCAAGACATATTTGTGGGGGATTAGGTTTATGTACCTCAAGTATGACGTGACCAACCCTTGGATCAATGGCTTTACAACTCGCCTAAAGACAATCATCAAGGCTATCAAAAAGCTGCTGGGGAATTCCACCAGGAGCAGACTACAATCTCAATTACACTACTCACAGACATGTGCATCCAGCTAAACCAAGGTGTGTTTAACCCTTATATTGATCTACTCGTGAAGACTGTTGTATGGTTTTCTTCGTCTTCTTGAGATGCGGCAAATTTATATGCGACTCTTATAATCCAACAATACACTTGTCAATCAATTCCATTTCATTTAACACCAAGCTTTCTACAGCCTTTGTGTGTCTTTAGGCATCTAAGACAGATCAATTTCGTAAAGGTGTTGTCATCACCTTACACAGGCTGTATGAGACCCTGTTGTGCTGCTCAGTTAGGACACTCCTGCATTACCTTGTTCTTTGCAATCAGAGGCCGTCAAATCCTTTAGATCCTTTTTTCCCTCATGCCTAATGGTGCAGCTATGGACAGAAAATGTTTCATTGACCATCTAAAACTTGTGTTGCAAGTGACCGGGTATGACCACACAAATTAGAATTTGTGCGGCCACCACTGCAGCAACAGCAGGCATCCCAGATCATATGATCAAAACCTTAGGACGTTGGTCATCGGACTGCTACAACCGCTACAGAACAACAGAGCATCCATCAAGCCCAAGTGGCCATGGCACAGGTGTAACCTCACACAAAAGTAATGGTGATCAAAATCCTGAAGCAACGGTGTACCAGAGACATGGGTTATGTTATTTGAACAATGAGGCAGAGACATTCACAGATATGCTCACACATCATCCCTATAGCTAGTGTTGGCAAGTCAAGTATTTGTCAGGGTATGGCGTGCAGGCAGTACACCCCTCATGTGCCATATTTCGCTTTTAGTCAACTATGTTAATATTTTATCATCGTTTTGCTATATCTGTCGCATCATTTTGGGGATTTCATAACTTTGTTTTGGGCATGTATTACCCCCAAAATAATCTGTCTATAAACCAGAGTTGCTTTGGTCGGGCATACACCTTCAATCCGCTATACCTGTCAGGGTATTGTTTATCAGCTACACTGTTATCTGAAGCACACCTGTAATTAGCTTACCCATCGGGGTAATTTAGTAGTGTTTTTTTTTGTCAATAAACAATGTGCTACAGGCTCAACGAGAATCACCAATTAAGCCAAAACAATAAACATTTTATTTAACATTTGCCTTATGTGGTCTTGTCTGAATCTGAGGAAAATAAACCAGATGCTTCAAGGTAGAAGTCTCCAGAAGGCTGGTTGTACCTACATTTGTGCAAGATGAGGGTGATTTTAGGCCTTCAATCTATGACCTGATTTGTGAATTTTCCACTAGCTCCCTGTGGACGGGATGTGTATCTGAAAACATCAACTTTTCTGCCTGCTTCAAACACTGTTTCCTGGATTTAAAAAGTGCATATGCCTGTGTATAGGGCCTATTATTTATTGCTTCTGTCACATCTTTTATCCATTGTATTGCCATTTATGACTGTAAACCAAATCCTGTGTATTTTAACATAAATTATTGAATATTCATTAATCTTGTGTGTTTTTTTACTGGTTTCATAGTTTAGCTCTGTACGTACCGATTTCTGGGTTAACAATTGCTTTTCCTTTGGGAATCCTGTATATTGTAGTTGTTATGTGGGGGTCCTGTGATAAGTTGGGGTGAAACAATACAGCAAGGTCACGACACGCTATGTGTCGCGATACATAGTTCATACGATACATATTGTAATATACATATTCACAGCAAATCTCATGAAAACGTCTTGCATATAAATATTTTAGAGCAGGTTTCTAGAAGTTGGTGAGCAAATAGAAAATTACACTGTTATTGATGCACCAGTATATTGTTCCATGCCTAGTGATAAGACTCCAGCAAAGTTAAGTTTTTTGTTTGATGTTTAACGCTGCACTCAGCAATATTTTAGCTGTATGTTAGTGGTCTGTAAATAATCAAGTCTGGACCAGACAATCCAATCCATCAATCCATGCAATTGGGAAACGATGACATGTATCAACCTGACCACCTGACCCCGTTAGTTGCTTCTTACATCAAACATAGTCAACTCTTACTGAAAGCAAAGGTTCTCGAGGAGCCATTCTAACCTGGAACATCATGTGTATCTCCAGCAAAGAATACTGTAGCATTGTAGTGCATGGTTCAAAAGTAAGTTCAATGTTACCTGTTCTGTGGGGAGATAACTCTGGATGTGGTTTCATCAGTCACTGGTGATCTCAGATGAGCATTTGAACAGTGACCTTTTATTGAACAAAAACTGTGATGTATCAAAACTATCCAGTGTTATCTACAGATTTTTTAGAAAGTAACAACATATGTATGTATAAACATACCTACACAAAATGTTATTGTTGTTGTACCAAATTACTTAAGCCCCTATCTCACATTCACGAATCTGAACACCAATGAACACGATTTAACATTTTTCCTTAAATCGTGTTAGAACGTATGAAGGTCGCACACTTATTCGTGTTCATTCGTGGTCGTATGGACGTCGCAGCAAAATGCAATGCAAAAATTTATAACACGATTTAAGTTGAGCTGAAAAGTCGTGTTCAGTCGTATGAAGGTCGTATGACAGTCGTGTTCAAGCGTATGAAGATCCTGTTCAGTCGTATGAAGATCGTGTTCAGTCGCATTCAGTCGCATTCAATCGTGTTGGGGAGCGTGGGAAGAAACTCATATGACCTTCATACGTTTTAACACGATTCAACACGACTTTCATATGCCTTTCATACAACTCCCATACGTCTGAACACGAAATCCATACGTTTGTCATACAACCGGAAGAGCCCATCACGTGACTGAGTGAGAACGTGGGAAACCCCATGAAAGTGAAAGCTTCTTGCATTAGGTGTTCATACTGCCCATACAGAGGTCTCCTCAAGAACCATGGTCGAACACAGAATCACTTCCTGTTCCTCACTCTGCGACGCCTACGCTGCCTCCTACCCCTCACCATCAAAGCCGTAGCAACCAGAAGTACTTCCTCATCCTCCAAAGCTGCTTCTTGCCGGTCTTGTTCGTTGTTGAACATGGTGAAGACTGACACAGAAATGCTGTTGCAATGCAGCTTATATACTACATGACACACTTGACCAAAATAAACAAAAATATGTCGTATGAAGGTCTTGCTCAGTCGTATGGAGATTGTGTTTATTTTTGTAGTCGTATGAACATCGTAATGATTCAGGTTTAATCGTATGGCGGTCGTGTTGATTCGGGTTAAGTCGTATGGGCGTCGTATGTCAGTCGTGTTTTTGTCGTATGACAGTCGTATTTGGGTCGCGTTAAATGAGGTTAAATCGTGTTGTATCGTATGAATATCTTATGACGGTCGTATGAGTGCTGTGTTCATTCGTATGAAAGTCGTATGAGGGTCGTATGATGGTCGTGTTTGGTTAAGAAATTTGCAGAAACCACAAGGTCGAGCACGAATAAACACGATTTTTCAACTTTTCTTAAATCGTGTTCGCAATTTCTTAAATCGTGTATGTGAGATGCGGGCTTTAAACTACCACATATCCTTAAACAGGATGAGCTTCCTAATGTGTAGCACAGGGATAAAATTTAAGATACATACAGGATATTCGCTGCAGGAAGTGCCCCTGACCATCTTCTAGACAATTCTGCAAGTAATCTTTATAAACGCCCCACAAATTTACAGACAGTAGTCCTCATTTTCTTATTTATAATGGGGCATTCTTTACCGAGGAGGATCATATTATACATGCTGAGTTCATAAAGCAAAAACATTTCTACAGACATGATAACACCAGAAAGACCATACCAACAAATATGTCTTGAGGTACCCTATTTAGTCTCGTTTCATAGTATCATATACAAAATGGTTAATGGTGCATCTCTGCAGTTGTTATGCACACAAATTTGATTTATTACAGTGAATTTTATGTTCTGTAAAATCCTCAGGGAACCAACTTATGATTATATACTGCAACACTGATCACAATAACATTACTTTCGACTTGAAGGAAACTTAGTTCTAAAAGGATGTAAACATGTAGTAAATGTACAAGTCATAGAATTTTATTCAAGGTAAAATAATGGTTGTAGATGATTAATGTCTAGCAATGTATTATCACCAAAGTTGTAGTTTCATCAATGTTTGAAAAATTAAGTGCTCTCTCCAGCTCAATCTGTGAAACTAAGTTATGCATCTTTCTTGTGTACGGTCTTGATAAGCCACTCTCCCACTTGTCCCAGGCCCCGTTCCCAAAAGGGGTCTTAGCACTACAACTGTCGTAAGTCTATGTTTGAAGTATGGAAGTTTCAATCATCCTAATGCTACATCGCTTTGTGGATGGGGCCCAGGGCACTTAATACAGCGAATACAGAAAGCCAGATTAGAACATGTTTATTGCTAGTGCAAAAGATATTTTTAAGTGACATTTAGAGCTGTAGTATCAACAAAGAGAAGACAGACTTCATGTGTTCTTTTTAATGCTACATTTTGGTACAAATATCATGGATACTAGTACCTATCTCATCAAGCTGGTAACTTGTTCTGATATTTCAAAATTCCAAAGTGCAATTCTATATACTGTGAATCATGAAATCAATGTATAAAATGTGTTTTCCTTGAATGTCTCATAAAGTGACACAAGTTTACTTGGACATTAATTGTAACATCAGGTTCAGGCAATGACATACATCACATAACACTGCACCAAAACAAGCAGTTCTGATTGTCATTTGAAGAATCTTTATTGTTGGCAACCTCGTCAAATGAATATATATATATATATATCCTTCCTGCTATTGATTTCACTGAAGTTAGATCACATGTCAAGTTTGTTCACCACACTCAGTAATATTCCAGCAATATGATGGCGGTCTGTAAATAATTGAGTCTGGACCAGACAATCCAGTGATTGACATTACTTGTTGTTATTAGTTTTATGACACATTTTACTCTGGCACTGGCACTGTCATTGTTTTGTTGACACATTAATTTCATGATTTACAGCATTACATGTCGTTATCTCTGACTAATTGAGTAAACAAGAATTATAACAATACTCACGGCTAGTTTCCAAGACATACTCAATGACACAGCTGTTATGGCTGGAGAATAAGTGTTCATGATCTCTGTTGAAAGAATAAAGAAATAGAACATAATTACATTTAGTACATTTAGTACTAACTACTAAATGACTTTACCGCGTGTATCCAAACCATTGGCTAATTACGCCCATAACCCAATCACCCCCGGGTCACCACCCTGCACCGTACCCGGGGCAATAATCCCGCGCAAGCATCATCCCGCCTTTGTTATAGTCCATCATTCGCGCACCGTCTCTCTTCAAGTACACATGTGTTTCGCTGTATCTAATCACTTTCCCACCCACCCACCCAGCTTGCCACTCCTTTTCTTTCGTTTTCAGCCGGATGTGTCCTCTTCACCTGGAATGCTAATCACTTCTTTTCTTCAGCGTTTTTCTATTACAGGTACCAGCAGAGCAGATTGTATATATGTAAATAAACCTGTACATATGTAAAATAGGTTTTCAGGGCGCCTGTATATATGTACATACCTTCTAAACGATTCTGATAAATGTAAATAAACATGCCTTCTAAATAGCTGTATATATGTATATATGTATATATGTGAATACCTGTCTCAACAATAAACTATGTCGAGGTGTGCGGGGTTCTAGTGGGCTACACTGCTAGTAACAAATTAACTTGCTTCCAAATTAATACTCGTGCTTAAGGCTACCTGCTTTTCAGCGGGAACCTTTCCGGGGTTACCTGCTTCTCAGTGGGAACCTTGTCTTTCCCCACTTTTCAGCCGGGGAATCGTAAAATAACATACGTTGGGGCAAACAATTGCCACGTATATAGGCCCGGCGGCGGAAGTCGTCTTGTCAAGCGGTAGCTGACAGTTGGGTCCGCGGCAGTAGTCGCACAATGGTTTTGCTAATGGGGCCAGGCAGTGGGATCTGCTTTGGCCGGCTACCTGGGGCTTGGCAGCGGTAGTCTGACTTAGGCCAGCAGCGGTAGCTGCTTTTGGCAGCGTGTTGGTTGCCAAGCAATGGTAGTGTTTAAATATGCTACCGTGGGGGCCGGACAGCGGTAGCAGTCTCAGGCCAGCAGCACTAGCTGCGAATCGCCGTTGGCCACGCTAGTGGCCATGGGAATGGTAGCATATTGGTATACACAACTAGCAGCTTAGTAGCCCACTAGTACCTGCACACCCTCGGCCATTTAACCCAATTTCATCTTGTGTTTGTATTATAGGCACGGGCATCCACGGCTCGGTGGCCCGTGCCTCTCCTTGGCATATCGCGGGATAATACCTGAATGAAGATTACCAAAGGCTCTCACAGATTAGCTTCTGCAGTAACAGCTTCTGATTGTCTGAATACCCTAAAAAAGTATTTTGAAGCTAATTGCTACATCACACTCACAATTCTGACTTTTATCAAAAGTTCAGCACTGTCAGTCATTTTGAGTCAATTTGCGTGCATTGAAATAAAAAAATGACAAGAAGACGAAGTCATGTTTATCCCCTGCCAGTTGTACAATCTAAAAGACAATGACATCTGCAATCACATGTGACATTGTAAATTTGTAAATTTTACAGTAAATTGTACATTTATGATACTTATCCTATCTCACTCTATGGATCTCATCCTTCTTCATCGGATCCTTGTGTGGAAACGTCCCAAAACAAAGTTTCTAGCTTCCGAGCTTCATTCGCCCTAACACCTCTTGCATCACAATGGTGACCACCCTGTCAATCAGGTCATGCACACGGATCTTGTGCAGCTTGACATACATGCACTGATCACCTGACACCCTCTGCCTCATCATTCTCTTTCTTTTAGCTGACAGGCTGTGTAACTGTGATGTGGGGATGGATGGGTATGCATAGTTTGTGTGAGATAGGTTAAGTATCATAAATATACAATTTACTGTAAAATTTTACAATTTTTAAAACTTTTCCTATTTTACTCTATGCATTTACCCCACGGTTACACAGTGGGTTGCAGATTAACCAAGCCTTTATTCGTCTTATAAACGTGAAATATACATGGGGAAGCTGCTGCTAAACATGCCTCAATCCTAAGGTTGTTACACATCCTCGTCCAAAGACAATGACTCATGATTTTATGGGTGGATCACTGCACTTGAATTAGAATACCCATTTATGCAACAATGGACACAATGTCATGCCATCAGGTATAACATGCGCTGTGTGTTATCGTATAGGACATCATACTATGACGATTGCGTGGTTTTGAAGTAGACAACCTATTCAACCACAACTAGTAGCCAATGCGGGAGGGGTCTCCAGTCAATTAGCTCTACAAGACAAACCCACCATACGCTCTATGACATAAGCCGAATCTGCTTGGCATCTCATTTTACGCTTTGTTGTAGCTATCAACCCCAACCGCAGAATAGAATTTGCTAAGACAAGATGAGGTAATGATCGACAATATCCTAAAGAAGATCTTCAAACAAATACTGGTACATCACATGCTCCAGGCAGAGGTTAGCAGGTAAGGGTTTGGGACACCGCTGAAAAGGCCTTTATCTGCATTGACGGGCTGCCGTTAATTGTTGAGCCAGGACTAGCGAACCGAAGTGTTGAAGTCCTTGGACATCAGTTACAGAGACATCTCGTAAGTAGTGGGTTCTAGGTTCCAATCCCTGCAGTACAAACATTGGATTGCCAGTTCAAACTGTTGCCTGCAGGATTCGCTGCATTACATACCAACATCAGTGTTGCAGATGCCGGAAACTGACCGTTGTGAAGTGATTGAAGGACTGTTGAAAACGGAGCTATCTCTAGATAGCAATTTACTCTGGTTTTCTTCTGAGTTGGAGAAATATACTTCTCTTTTAGAATAAAAATTTAAAAGTGTGATGTTATTAATTTAACTGTTGCCAAAAATATTTCATGCTGCATTTTTAATGATTTTTGCAGGTCACCGAAGTTCAGCTGTGCGTCTGTACAAGAAGACTAACATGGCAATGCAGGCTGCCGTTTCTGATATTATTTACGGGAGTTCAAATGAAGAACTATTGGCGAAGGCGGGGAAAGCAGAGACCGGTACGAACAGTGCTGCGACAGTCTCCATTGCTCCCAACAAGGATGGTCAAGGAACGGCGTAAAAAATCGAACAGACCGGTACCGATGTCGCTGAAGTGGTCTCAAATCCAGCAATCAGGAATAAGGAAGCTGCAGAGACGCGCGGAAAACAAATCTCTCTTGTTTTCAATATCAGTGTTTAAACATGCTGTAAAATTGTGACAAATAAAAAGCTATGCACCGTTTTTGTTCTTTTTGCATGATCAGTGGCATTTTGTTTGCCTTTAAGAAAACTTGTAGGTCTATATTGAAAACAGACCCAGTCGGGGTCTTTATGGTAAAACAGACCTGGTGTAGGTAAATTCAAAGCTGCCCCCGGCTTTCAGAATGATGGACTAACCAAGGGTCTTCAGGGGTTGAAAAATACCATTGCCCGACGCCCGTGCCAAGGTTTAGATGTCGGGCGTGTAATATACGTTTTCAAGCATGCCCGTGGACATGTAGCGGTATTTGATTGGCTTATATTTTGTTAGTGTCCCAGACTGACAATGTAATTTGCATACAGCTACGCCAGTCAACCAATGGGATTAATACATTTCGATGTCAGGCAGGTCAACAACGAGAACCAGGCTTGTTTCATTGTTAAATCGTAGTAACACTTCCATATATGGCACATGCTTCTTGGAAATGGAATGACAGACAGTTGACATTTCTTGGAAATTGTAACACGAGGTTGAAACATTTTCCGACTTTAGAAGCTTCATTAGGCCTAGCTTTGATGAAATATAATTTTGTCGAACTACAACAAATGTGACTTTTAACGAGTGAAAGTATTGCATTTATTTAATATATGTTTCTTTTCGTTGTCAACTAAAGTTCATTTCCAGGCGTCAATAGCGATAACCTGACCGTGGTTGCTGTAAATAATGGCGAGTTGTACGATCTATCGACCCCTTTACGCACGATTTCGCCAAAATAATAAGATGTTACCTCATTAATAGACTGTAAAAATGTGGTTCTAAAGGAATATAGCTCTAAAGGTGCTTTGGATTTATGTCCCTAAAAGGAACAAAGTCTTTGTGTGTTTTACCTTAACACGTTAATGACATGTAACACATGTCAGGGGCTCAATATGCCAAAATATCAACAACTTTTGAACATAACATGTTCAGGAAAAGTGTCGAACATAGTAATTGGTAACATTCATTAGTTACCCTCTCCCACTGTCAAGTCAACACGAGGTACGTTTATATATGTCTACTGTTGTAGAGTTATATTAAGAGAGATGTTAACCGTTGTGTTATGTCCAACTGAAACACATTTAGAAAATCAATACTTGATTATCTGAATATTTCATCACTTTGCTTTGATAAATACAGCAGCAAGCAAGAGTCGAGCAAGGATTGTAGAAATGTACACATTTGAATGGACATGTTTAAGCTCTTGCTTGGTGTTGATGTTGTAGTATTGTAGGCATAGCAGAGCAAGAAACGCCAAGTACCAAAACTGTTTTAACGGTTTAGAGGGTTAGAATGAGCGGTGGGTGGGTCGGTGGAGAGTGCCTACTACTAATAATGTGAAGACAGAGATAATGAGAAGAACAAAATCTGAGCGTGGCTCACTAATACCCCCGACCCGACTAGTGTGTCAGTAGTTACAAATTAAATACCTAGGATAGGGTTAGGCAGGGTTCCCCCTAGACTCCAATATCTGAGAGTCACCTTGACTCAGCCTATGAATTTTGGGGAGTCAAAAATATTTTTTGAGAGTCAAATGTTTTATTGTATGATTAATGAAATTTAAAGTGTTTACTGTTAATGTTACACTTAAAGTTAAGTATCTTTTAAATATGATATGTCTTTAGTTTAAGTTAACAAGTGCTAATTAATGTTCTCAGCTGATTGTACTACAGAGAAATAAAGGATATATTAATGAAAAACAATTTTTTTTGGTTTTATTTTTTCACAATCTTTAATTACTTCACAGCTCATGAAACAATTTACAGTGACACTAATACAGGATGAATAAATAACATCAGTCTCAACTG